TGTCTCCATTTCATCCTTTACAACTGCTCTCACAACTGTAAAACAGACATTTGGGACATGAAATAAATGTTGTGTAAGTACGCAAACAGCTTACAGACCTAAGTTCTTGTGATGCTTGTATTTGAGTGCTGTATCACAGAGCCCACACAGGAAACGGCCAAACTTTTCACTAAACTCTCCTTTACTTAAGTACAGAAGTAAATATTTTTCAGTCACATTTAAAGAGCTAAAAGACATTTGACTATACAGGAACAACTGTCCACACTACACGATGACCATTCGAAAGACCGATCAGACCATCGGTACTTGACCTTTCACTGAAGCCATGGAAAGTCAGTTCGTTAAAGCTGTAAAAATGGCTTACCTGCAGCATAGAGGCAAAACCAGACAGAAGCGATCATACTGGAGGACGCTGAAGGATCTACGAGTGGTCCATGGTGCTAATTTAAGTTTCTACTGGAAACATCCCAGTGCAGTAATTTAGTAGAGCTGCATGGAAACTTCACACCTAGCACTTCTTCTTGTAAGGCTGCCACATATAAGGGGGAGGCCCCTAAGACTGAGCCACACAGTCCAGGCGATGGCAGTAGAGTCTTCAAGTATTAATGCAGTAAAATTATACAAACTCCCAAGCCAGTCATTTTACCATAATGCAGCCTTCATAGGACAAAAAGTCAAATGCTGCAATATTTCAAGTGGCCAAAATGGGCTCTAAATGACAACAGTGACTGCTCTACACAGACTTTTGTACATGTTGAGGAGGTTCAACTACTGTTCCTTTCTCACCTACATTTTTTTTTCTCTTTCCTTCCTCTCCCACCTTCTTTCTTCTGTCTTCAACTCTTCTCATAACCGCTCCCACCTTTCACACACGTGCAGTGGCCCGCTCATTCTCTTCTTCTCTCTTCATCTCTTTCTGGACGAGATTACTCAAAACCAAGTGAGTACAGAAGTACAACTTTGACTGAATATCCAATGCAGTTTGTTGTTGATCACTCAAATTATGCTTGAAATTGGTTATTTTTGGGAAAGGTTTGCATTAAATTGTCCTGCGTATTTTCAGTCACTGGGCAACTGTTGTTTTGCTTCTGTTTGTGCCATATTCCAACTTTTCTATGTTACTGAAGCTGCAGGTGCACCTTGTCCTTCTGCTACTATTACTGACTTAGTTTAGGTCTCCATTATGTTTTCTGTATTAGCCAAACACAGTTTTCCTCTATGTTATTTTAGCTTGCTGACCTAATAAAATTAAGGTTGGATGTACGAGTCTGATCCAAGACACAGTTTTGCTTGGTCCATCTTGAATTTGATCGTATGGATGTGCTAACGCTCCGAGACGTTTGCTATATCTGAGCTGAATTAAACAGCCATTGGGCAGAAGTGTAAAACGTAACGAGAAAAGTCAGCTGATAAACTGCTTTTAACATTTTAAACATCTGCATGCATTTAAATAGCAAATCGCAACTGGCCAACTTTCAAGAGGTCAAAAGGCAAACAAACAAGGCAAGATCTAAGCCAAAATGTTCTTTAGAATCTAATGCCATTCAATATGAGGTGCTGTATCTCCCAATCATGGATATAATTGTAGCAACATTGTGCCCAAGAAATAATAAAATCTGTACATAGTTTGAGCAACAGTGAAAGCTTCTAGAGTGTTGTTGGAACTTTTAGCTATGAACACTTTGCACTCCTACGAGCAAGAAGCAAAACATTTTTTGGTTTCTCTGTCTTGCGCCTCCGCTAACAGATTGCCCGCCAAAAGTGGGGGCTGCTCTCTGCAGGGCAGTCTGCAAAAGCACAGGGTGGCCGAACATGCAGCTACCTTTGCAAAACCATGCGCGGAGCCCAGCCACATCCTGTGTGTATGGTGAACAGATTTCTGTTAAAAAAAAAAAAGTAAAAATTGTCTAGATAGGCAGAAATAAATTGTCTAAAGTGTGTATGCACTCTAATCCTACACTCTTCGATTTCAAATTAGAATGTGAACTGCGGCGTACTGCAGGGGTGTCATTTGGGGCCTGACCTGTTTTTCTGCATGTTCAATGCACTTGCTGCAAAGGAGGTGGTTTCCTGTTGCTGCTACCAACACAAAAGGATCAAAGATATGCAACGCCTCCTTTAGCTTGATATCTCTCCATTGGTTTCAAAATGTACTAACTGTTGATGTGTGCTCTTTGACTTTAAAGCTCTTACATCTCTGATGCTTTTCACACATTCTACATTGGTGCGTGATCAGTGTGTCATCAGCAGCCGTTTCAACCTTCATCAGGCCTACAAATCTAGCATCTTTTCAAAAAGAAAAAAAAGCTAATAATATGACGTTAATTAAGTTGATTAATTAATACTAATGTATGGCACTCTTCGGGCCTCTCTTTCTTCCCCTTTCTCAGGCATTATGAGGCCACTAATGCCCCTGTGCCTGAGCATGCTCTGTTTGCTCCTTTCCACCACTCCTGTCACCAAGGCTGGCTCAAACACAAGCGCCACAATTGCAAGCATTACAAGTAAAGCAACCAACTATACTGCTGTGGTCAGCACAAATGCAACTGAGGGACCATCTTCTGCAGCCTTCCACACTTCTACTGGCCCTGTGACCATACAACCTAACACTGAACATACGCCTACACGTACTGAGACCGCAACGAGTCAAATACCAAAGACTACAAAATTGAATCTAAAGTACTCCACAGTCCAAGCAGTCAAGTGGAAGCACAGTGGTGGTAGTAGTGTTGTTCATCTTGGTGCTTATCATCCTTTTGGTCATCGCAGTCAGATGGTACAGGCAGAACCCTAACCGTCACTCCTTCCGTGGTCTACGGGATAGCATTGTAGAGACCGCACAGTTGGCGTGGAGTACCGTAATGGGATGTCTGCAGCGTCCTCAAAAACGAGCAGAGGGGATAGAGGAGGATGAGGAGGTGGTGGAGATGGAGGTGGAAGGAGGAGGGGAGAAGATGGAGGAAGATCCAAAGGAAGAAGGGGCAAAGCAGGAGGAGGACAATGACTCTGATTCGGACAGTTCCTTGGAAGATTATTCTATCGTGGACCCTGGCAACCTGACAGAGGACGAGAAGCAGAAGGAAGGGGAGGAGGAGGACAGGAAGAGCATGAAGGAGGAAGGAGGAGAGACAGAGGAGATGACGTCCGTCACATTAGAGGACGAGGAGAAGGCAGAGCCGGAGGAGGTGGATGACCTTACACCACTGTAAAAGCTAGGGATGTGTTGCAGGTTGGGAAAGGGGATAGCTGCGGGCAGGGAGGGGTCAGTAAAGGGATTAGTTTAGGAGTTTTGTACATGTGAACTGTTATTTTGATTGTTATTTTTGTAAAGTTATTCAAACTTTTGTAAGCTTGTAAGTAACATTTTTTTGTCCAATGAAAACTTGTGTATGTGCCTTTCTCAATAAAAGCTAATGTTTGAATTAGCATGCTCCTCAGTAATCAGTATTCATTTCATAATTAATATTATTTATAAATATTGCTTCAAAAAATAATAATTATTTTTTGAAGCAATGCTGCTGAATGTCACCAAAATGAATGAGAAGATCAGTAAGGGGTGGTCTGACAAAAAATGAAATGTATACAATTTTCTTCTAAGTCTTTTGTTTTGTACGGGGTCTAAGAAGCTAATGTAGCTACATGTCAGGGAATCTTATAACTGTCAGGCTAGCATGGAGCAAACTACATGCTTAATTCATTGCACACTTGCCTCAAAAGACACAGACCACTGACGTCTGAATGTTGACACTGTGTAGTTGTTACACATACGAGAAACATGCAAATACAGGGCAAACTCCACGTCTGAGCTGGATTTCTCTACAGCTGAAATGAATGTGATTTTTGAAAATTGCACCATATGGTTAACAAAACTGTTCCAAACTCAATGTTTTATCCTGCATACATTTTTCCATTAAATGTCACAGAATCCTCTGAAAAACAAAGTCATTAAGGAGCCGAAATCCTACGGAGCTGAAGGCCTAACTGTGCTGTGCATTGAACTGACACTGTAAGACTGAAAAACTCACCAAAGTACTCCAAACAAACCAGCAAGCTTTGTCTAGCGTGGTAACTAACTTCATTTGGCAGTGGTAAAGTACATTAGGAGTAACTGATGATATTATATAATGTCATAAGATATTTAGTAGTAGACTGACTTTCATGCAACATAATTTCAGTGCACAGGAGTGCCAGTTTACTACTGGATGTGGCAATGTTTGTATTCGTACTTCGTTGTAATTCCAGTGACATTAAGTGGAAAAATGTCCACAGCACAAAATGTATTGGCTTTGGGACCTTTTTGTTTACTACAGGGCGTCACACACAATTTTCAAAATCCCATTTGTTTTCATCACAGAGAAATCCAGTTTAGAGCCAGAGTTGCTGTCATGGGCATGACGGCAACTACAAAATGATGCACAACTTCAGATGTCTATTGCTTAGCTACATAATACTGTGTGTAATAATTAAAACATTTTAAACATTTTACATAGAAAATGTGAGACTATCACAATTAACTACACAATAATGCTGTTAATGGTGATTCATTATTTTAATTGCTTGACTGCCCTGATTATAACCAATAACTAATAAATAAGCAAAAGTCACAAGCTACTTATGGGTTGTAGCCATAAACTACAAACTTGTGACTGTAATCATAAACAAAGGCAGCATGGAGAAATTTTCAGGTGTTCAGTAATTTTGCATGAAGGTACTTCAATTTTTGTGAACTACAAAACTATTAACAAACTCAATAACAAATTACATTAATATTTCTTAAATAACTCAAGTTAGGAATACGTCGGTTGGATGGTCAAAGCCTAAAACTGGGTTTGTGTAGAATTTGTTTCATATAAATGTGGATTATGAATATTAAATTTATTCAAAGCTTCACAAGTTCTTAAGAATAAAAAAATGTAAACTTTAAACCATAAGAAACACTTTAGGCGTATGTATATTTCTCAGTAAAAGATTTCAGAATAAACACTTTTTGTCTCAGTTTTTGCATATATTTATTTTCTGAAGTAACTGTCACCAAAATTAAAAAGAAGATAAAATGATTATGGTAAATAAACATCTTAAAATAAAACAATCCAATGAATATATTAATAGCAAATAGTAACAGTTAATACATTTGAATCAAATTTTAGTAATAATATATAAGTCTTTCATGTTCATAGGTAAAATAGCCTGTGATAATGACTGGAGGCTCTTCAGTTTCTACACAAAAAAATAGCTGAAATGTTGCCGTTTAGGGCCGACAGAGGAGATGAGGAAACAGGATCAGAAAAGTATGAAGTTTCCCAACCAAAAATACAGTGATCTGATAGGAAATTGTTCTGTTTTTTCCATGAATTTATACTGTAGAAAAGCTTTCCAGAGATAAATACACTGCAGTTCATTCACAGTCAGCGCTGAGCACAATACAGCACATTCCAACCAAAACATTCAATGCGGTTGCAATTTTTTTTTCTTTTTTCTATTTATAGTGTCATGATGCTTTGGTTTTGGTGGCAGCAATGGTTCTGTCATGAGAAAGAAAGACAGAGAGAGTGAGCGAGACTGAGAAAGAGACTGAGAGATAATGCGTGCACACAATATCCTTTTGATGAATGCTGATTGCAAAAATGGTTGCCTTCATTTGCCACGATGGCCTTTCGGTTTTTTGTTCCGTCCTGGCGTTCTGATTGGCTGTGTGGCACAGTTCTCGAGAGCAGGGGGTCGAGTCTGAACAGGGGGCTCCTCCTCTCCGTCAATACTGCTCTTAAAAGGCTCAGCGAGAGAAAACTTCAGAGGGCTGGAGAGAGAAATACTGTATCAGAATCAAAAATGATATCTCTTCCAAAGAATACTGAGACAAACAGTACAAGTTTAATATAGGGGTATATAAAAAATATAGGAGGCAACAAAGTACCTTCGCTTACTGACCAATTTAGCAGACCATACACAGTCATATGCAACAAGTTTGGATGCCCCTGGTCAAATGACATGTTTTGTTGATTCTCTAAGTGATAATAAGGTGCACATCCTCTATACAGAGCAAAGGTTTGTGCATTAATGAAGAATTACTCTTACTGCATTAAGTAACTATATTTACAGTTACAATATTTACGTTACTCTATCAATATTTTACTTTATTTATGATTACTATATATTAGTGCATTTTCACTTAGAAAATCAACCAAGCATGTCAATCGTCAGAGTCACTGCAGTGCTGACCAACTCTACTGCCAGTGTTTAGTCTATAGGGATTCCATGGCTGTAAAGCAGCTCTGAGCCAAACACATACTTTTCTGAACCAATACTACATGACTATTAGCCAGCTATGCTAAATGTTCATAAAAGTTTATGGCTGTGTTATGTGGGACAATTTAACCTAATAACACTTGTGCTTGTGAGCTTCCTGTAGATGTGCTGGACCACTAGAAATCTACCAAACACCCATGTGCTGCATACAACACAACCACAACTAACTGGCAATCTGGTGCACAATGTTAAGCGTTCAAGCCTCGAACCAGAAAAAAAACTGATATGCTGGTGTTTTTGGCCAAAATTACAAGCCTGAACTTTAATTCATGGAACAAATTTAATTACTATTTAAGTTGCTGTCACAGCATTGGTCAGTAAAATCACAAGATAATTTCCCCAAATAACGCGGTCCCGCACAGACGCAAATGCATTTTAATCTGTATTTTGAAGAGGTAACTGTGACAACCTGTGAACCATAACCCCATAACAACCCTGTAGTGTAGCTACACTCTGTAGATCTCCAACTACTAATGCAGTCGCTAACAGGTCAGTCTCAATCTAGTGCTGAGAATCACAGACTGCCCAAATTATATCTAACCAGCAGTGGTCCTATGGTGGCCCCTTTCCACTGATGGAAACAGTGAAGTGGGGCTAATAAAATGAGTAACAACAGATGGGCTACAGTCAGTAACTGTAAACCTACAAAGTTGCACCTCTATGGTAAGTGGACCTGATAAAATGGTCAAGAAGTGTAGATACAAGGTACATGCTACACAATTCTGTGTTTGTAGACACAAGGAATAACCTGGGTTCTGACCTGATAGGTGTGCGTGGGCTGCTGTTGAGTCTGCGGACGGGACGCACTCGTGGCTCCACTGAGAACCCCTCTTTCAAACTCTCCAGCACTGAGGGGGCCACATACGTGAAGCCCTAAACACCCACACACATGCAGAAACACAAGGGACAGCTTTCATCTTCAGTACATTTTCAGTTAAATTTACATGCCATGGTAACATGAGAACAATGTAGCTTAATTTTAGAGTTTTCAGCATTGATTGTGCCCTCATTTAAATAAAAATCTCCATCTCCAACTCCAGATGTTTAAAAACAAATAATAGTGATACAAAAAGTACTGATTTTATGTATGTATTTAACCATTTCAAACCTGTGCCAACGATGGAATTTACCACATCCATGAAATGGCTGGAGACATGGAGGAGAGCCAAGCTTTGTTCTTTAACCAGCTCACAAGATATTAACTACTTTTTTGAAAACCTTGAAATCCTTGTTTCTTTTTTACCACATTAATGTTTGTCTGCATTTACTCAAAAGTAAGCTCACATGGTGTTTTACCTGCAAAAACAGTTACTGTCCAGAAAAATGGGTTTAAACTATTTGCTTAGGTGTCTAAGGCTTTTGCATATGTATGTTTTGTTATGTATGTTTTTTCTGACACTGAAAAATGAGTGACTCATACTTAATGGCCATTTTGACTGGCAATTACATGAACAAATTGGCAGTCTTTGACTTTTGCATGGCACTGAATATACACTCACTGGTCACTTTATTAGGTACACCTCCCCTGTTTCTCTCTGTCTATTTTGTCAGTTCTACTTACCATATAGATTCACTTTGTAGTTCTACAATTACAGACTGTAGTCCGTCTGTTTCTCCTTTAGCCTGTTCATAGTGAGGACCCCCACAGGACCACCACAAAGCAGGTATTATTGGTGGTGGATCATTCTCAGCACTGCAGTGACACTGACATGGTGGTGGTGTGTTAGTGTGTGTTGCGCTGGTACAAGCAGATCAGACACAACAGTGCTGCTAGAGGTTTTAAACACTGTATTGCTGATGCTGCACAGTAACACACACTAACACACCACCATGCCAGTTTCTCTGCATTGCTGAGAATGATCCACCACACAAATCATACCCGCTCTGTGGTGGTCCTGTGGGGGTGCTAACTATTGAAGAACAGGGTGAAAGGGAACCGAAAGTATGCAGAGAAACAGGTAATTACAACCAGCCTGTAATTGCAGAACTACAAAATGTATTTAGATGGCAATTAGAGCTGATAAAACGGACAAAGTGTAGGGATGTAAGGAAGGTGTACCTAATAAAGTGACTGGTGAGTGTATATTTATGTAAACAAGCTGGTGATTACATATTATTTATGTGATTATGGTTTGTGACGTGTATAGCTCTAGTATGTTTGTAGTGTGTGGGTGTGTGCGTGTGTGTTTCTCACAGCAAATGCATGGTCAGCGCTGCCACTCAGAGTTGTGTCATCAGGACTGTCCACAGGAGTCTGTCTGGTGAAGCGGCTGTCAAACTGACTGACGTCCTCATCTGATTGCTACAGGTGGAGAGAGAGAGATGAGAAGGCTGTATTTTGAAAGTACTGCACCATTAATAAAATGTTCATACTCAGTTGTACGGACATTACCAGTGAAGGCCTATAGGGCGGCTCCACTCGCTTATTCAGCAGGTCATCCCAGTTGATGTGCCGGAAGAAGGGATGCTTCTGCAAAAGGGCATGATACATGAAAAATAACAGATGAATAAAAAAGCAATTCTACTAAACAAGAACAATAAAAAGGTCTTCTGATTTCTTATGCCTCTAAGTCCTATACACATTGTTTATATACCAATCAGCCATAACATTAAAACAATCCTTGTTTCTAAACTCATTGTCCATTTTATCAGTTCCACTTACCATATAGGTGCACTTTGTAGCTCCTCATTTACACACTGTAGTCCATCTGTTTCTCTGCATACTTTGTTAAGACTCCCCTTTACCCTGTTATTCAGTGGTCAGGACCCCCCACAGAACCACCACAGAACAGGTATTATTCAGGTGGTGGATTATTCTCAGCACTGCAGTGACACTGATGTGGTGGTGGCGTGTTAGAGTGTTGTGCTGGTACAGTTTTTAAACACTGTGTACACTCACTGTACGCTCTATAAGCTACACCTACCTTGTCGCCTCACCTTGTACATGTAAAGTCAGAACAGTAGCTCATCTGTTGCTACACAGTTTGTGTTGGTCATCCTCTAGTCCTTCATCAGTGGTCACAGGACGCTGCCCACAGGATGCTGCGCACAGGACGTTGCTTGCTGGATGTTTTTGGTTGGTGGACTATTCTCAGTCCAGCAGTGACACTGAGGTGTCAAAAAACTCCAGCAGCACTGCTGTGTCTGATCCACTCAGACCAGCACAACACACACTAACACACCACCACCACATCAGAGTCACTGCTGTAGAGCTACAAAGTGCACCTAAATGGTAAGCGGAGATGATAAAATGGACAAAGAGTATAAACACAAGGGAAGTGTACCTAATGAAGTGACCAGTGAGTGTGTATTCAGTGCCATGCAAAAGTCAAAGACTGCCCATTTGTTTAAGCAATGTCCAGTCAAAATGGCCATTAAGTGTAAGTTGCTAATGTCAGAAAAAAAAACAGTGTAGAAACGAGGAGGTGGTTTTCATATTGTGGCTGATTGGTGGACAGATAATAGATTGCTACATAGAGTATTCTGCTTGCATGCATGTCACACAGCTGTATGCAAAATTTCAACCACCCCTTGTATTCGATTATTTTCACTTAGAAAATCAACAAAGCATGTCATTTGACCAGGGTGCCCAAATTTTTGCATACAACTGTTGGTATGTATAGGCATCTTTCACCTGTATGTCTGCACAGTCTCCCTTCCCAGAGCCCAGTCTTTGTGTTGGGTTCTTCTTCAAAAGCTGTGCAAAGGAAAACAGATGTAAATGATGGAGAGGTGACGAAAGAAAGACAAAGATGAAAGGAGGTAACATTTTTGTGTTTTTCTTATTTTAAGGATGCAGTGCTAACAACACAAACAACTCAAACCCATTGAGCTCTGACCTTTTTGACCAAGTCTCTAGCATCAGGTGTGAGGTATGGAGGAAGGCTGAGTTTACACTTTAGGATCTTATCAATGGTCCTCTTCCTGTTTTCTGCAGTGAATGGAGGCTAAGAAAGGAGAGAGAGACAGATGTTAAGAAACAGGAGACAACGAAAACAAGTCATAAGAGGGTGTTGAAATATTATATTATAATATTAATAGTGTTGACTATTATTATCATCTGTCTAATAGTGAAATATTGGCTGATAATTACAGGCAATAATTTTGCAGCCCTTTTTTTAGCTTGCACATGTGCTGAAATGTGGTCACCAGTGGTGGGTATTCTCATAGATCTCACAGTGGCCTCTGCTGGCTTCCCTGAGTTTCCCTGTAATGGCCTGTAATGTAACCTACTGAGACGTGTACTGAGAAAACCGATTTTTGTCACACGTGTTTTAGCAACATATTTCAGTTTCTGATAGTGTTACACTTGGGTGTCCGTTTTTCACAACAAATTCTCCAAAAAGGTCGAGACATTCAGTATTCAAGACTGTTACTTGAACAGTATTACTAGTATTAGAGTATTACAGTAGCTTATTTCAGATACAGAGACACATGAGTGACAGCACGGCAGTGATGATATAGTGGTACATTTAATACACATTCACTTAGTTTTGTGTTTTTCGTAGGTAATACAGACAAGTTCATGTTCTATTACTAAAACACTGGTCGAAGCTCACTGTGAGTGGGACAATGTCGATAGGCTAACACAAATCTTCTTCTGGACTGAAGTCTCAGTTAGGTATTCCAGTGTGTGAGAAGGTAGGTGTTAATGGTGTTAAGGTGTTGATTTTCGGTCCAGAATTTCCACCTTTATCTAGTTATTATTGGTGATAACAAAAGCTGGTAAAACTTAGTACACAATAGCTTTTCCCTTTGACTTCTTTAAATGGTGAAGTCTTGTGGGGAAACTTGGAGACAACCTTTTACAGAAAAAAAAATCAGTCAGTATTTTTCCACTCATCACTGATGGCTTCAAACAGTGGAAAAAAATTGCCAAGCCGGTTTGTGTTTAATGTGAGACCAAATATTCTCTGTAGAGTTTAAATTTAGACTCTGACCCAGCCCAAAATCAGGAAAAAACATTATATTTTGGGCTTGGCCCATTTTTTTGTCCAGGATTGTACATATACTGTCGTATTAGTAAATGTTACAAAACATGTCACTTGACTGAGGCATCCAAACCTCTTCCTATGATTGTATGAGTTAATACTTATGTAATGAACGTAAAGAAAAAACAGTAACTGTGACCTTCTGAGGGTATTTTTTTTATCTTTTAACTGAGTCTTTTATCAAATGAAATGACAGATTTCAATTTAATTTATGTGTCTCTCTCTCTCACCGAGCCAGTCATCATGTCGTACATCAGCGCTCCCAGACTCCACCAGTCCACTGCTCTGTTGTGTCCTGACCGGGTCAAAATCTCTGGAGCCCTGGGAAATATTTCACATAACATGCATATTCATCATTTACTAAATACCTTTAATTATCTGTTATTACTATTACTATATATGAGCAACTGCTACAGTTTTAATGAACCCCTCACATTACAAGGGCATGGATGTAATGTGATGTTCATACATTCACTCACATACATTGCTCACTCTCAGGACTACAGCCAGTACTGTGCAGAAGTCAGAGCTCACACTTCATTCATATTCGATTTCCTTTCAAAACAGTCATTAAGTACAAGTAATTCATTTTGAAGAGATATTTCTAAAGCATGAAAGAGGGGACAGTGAAACAACTGAAGTTTCCAAAACTGGATTTCAAAAAACAATTACAAGATCCAGATGATCTCTTGGAAAAACTGAAAGCAAGTCTTCTAAAAAGAGTGGAGGCCACAATAAAGAAAAGGTAAGAAAAGTACAAACACTAAAAACTTTTTCCTTAACATTTAAAGTTAATTGTTGATACTTTTGTAATTTCTATTCAATAAATGTTCAGCTTTTTCTTGACAGTAAAAAATTATATATACATGTATAAAGTAATTTGTACTTAATGGCTGTTTTGACTCAAAATAAAATAAATAAAAGTGTAGACTCTGACTTCTGTACTGCATTATAACTTACACAATAGCTTAATAGTAGTTACTGAAAGGTTAATAAGCTTACTAAAGGTAAAATTTGCAACACTCTAGGTTAAGACATTAATGATCAACTTTTTGCAAAACATGCCCAAAAAATGATGATTTAGGCGTAGTTAATGCAGAACACATTAACTGGGTCTCATCTTTTTAGTTGCAGTGAAATTTACGCACAAACTAGATGGATTTGCCACACAGGCGGTAAAAGTTAATCTGTCGTGCTTTGGACATCTAGTGGTATAAATCTGCTACTGCAATCTGTGGTGGTAAGTGTACTTTCTACCTTCTGAACAGTGTTCAGTTTTTTAGTTTTTAGTGTTTGATTCCTTTATGTATTACTTGTGCATGCATACAGCATCCTTTTGCCCCAGAATTCCCTGATATGGGAATACTGCTATGAATTCTCAACAAAGTCAAAAGTTTATTGCTCTGGTGTGGAAGAAATGCAACTAATGGTTTAAAAAAAAAGATGAATGTGGGGGTGTAAATTCATTTTCTACAGTTATGTTTGTCTATTCTTACTACACTGAATTCAGTCAGGTTATCTGAGCTCTTATCAGTGATCCTTCACACTTTTTTCTGTAACATGATCTGTGTGAGAGTTACTCACATGTACTCGATGGTGCCGCAGAACGTGTGTGTGACGGTGCCATCATGGATGGATTCCTTACACAGGCCGAAGTCAGTGAGTTTAATGTGGCCTTAAGGAAGGGAAGATAATGTGTCAGCTTGAAATAGACTAGGCAGGCACATTGTGTATAAAGCGTATGGTTATAAATATCATTCAAATACATGAGGCAATGACAGGATCAGGACTGACTGCATGTATGAATCAACACACAGAAGCTGGTTTCCGGCAGTACTTTGGCTTTTAGTAGAAATGGGTGCAGCTCTTTGAATATACAAATATCTGAACTTAGTTTAGTATTCAGTATTTAAAAGACCCACAATTTTTTTGACTGAAGGACTTTATGAATTTAGAACCTCAGAGTTAAGCAAAACAGCGACATCTTAGTAGAGTTATATACACAAATATTTCATATTTGTTTAAAAATTAATGTATTCAAATCACAACATAACTAGGCCACCACCCACTGCATGGAATTTGTGGCACACAAGTGTCTATGGTATATGATATAAAACTCTTGCAATATGTGCAGAGGGTCAAACTGATATTTTAGACCACCAGCCTGCAGTGTCTGGTGGATGCCCACTCGTTTTTCTTTTCAGGTACTTGTCAATAAATACACCAATTCTCTATGATAAAAATACAACTACTAGTAGTAGCATGATAGAAGTAACAGTAATAATAATAGTAGCAGTAGTAATTATTAACAGTTATTATTATTAATATTATTATTATTCCTTTTACTACAACTAATAATAATAAAATGAAGAAGAAAGTGAATATGAATAGGTAATATGTTAAGCAAATATTTCAAATAAACCTGATTCAAGCACCATTGTCAGTAAGAGACAGCAACTCTTGTAGGCTGGCATGCTGGCCGGGCAGGCAAAACTGATTCAGACTTCAAGTGGCCCATGACAGCCGTTAAGATGTTTGTGCTTTGTGGGTGTGTCAGGGTTTAGAAGAATCACACCCTCAAAATCACCGCCTGATGACTTTGATAAAACACACATTTCTTATATGACATACCAGTTTAACTGGTTTCAAAAATCTAATGTATCTGTTTGTTTAAAGAACCTTCAATCATAACTCTCTAACATCTAACAACCAGCTTGAGCTTTGGCAACAGCAATAAAAAAAAAAACTGAGATATTCTAAAAGCCTTAATTACATGTTAACAATAGTCTCAGTGACCCAGCTAGACGGGTTCAGCAGATGTCAATACATTTTTGTACTCACACACCTTCATGATTGAGCATGATGTTCTCTGGCTTCAGGTCTCTGTAGATGATCCCGCTGGAGTGGAGGTGCCCCAATGCTAACGTTATCTCACCCAGATAAAAACTGCCAAGCAAAGACCACACTGGATGAGAGGCCAGTAGTGACGAAATGGTAAACGTCTGATAAAGCTTTCAAAAGGGCCCTATCACTAATGCAGTGATGTGGTCACCCTGTTGAACATTTTACACAATGTAAGGCCCTCCAACTTTCAATAGAACATACACTTATGACCAAAGGCTTGGAAACAAAACATAAATATTAAAAATTAATATTAAAATTTAATAATATTTCAAGAAATAATGGACTGTAATTAGAACAAAAGATTCCAACTCCACTTTATTTTGATCATTGTGATTGTCCTGCCATGTTTTACTTCAGCTCTATCCATTTTATACCTGATTCATATCTTCCCAAGTGGCTTGAAGTCACAGAAATCATACCATCATTATTTTAATTAGCTTCTTGGCAGCTGTAATTTTGAAGCATGTACACAACTTGCAAGAGTTATCTAGGCTAAAACACAGCCTCCACATGATGGGATTGGTAAATGTTACAACTAAGCCTCCATATCTTGCCATATAAATTTAAAACTAAACAACTAATGAGTTTAATTTTAATTCATTTTTTCAAAGTTTTTATACACAGATTCGCCAAAAACGTCAAAAATAAATTCGCCACAACATTATACAAGCTGTTTTTCCTAAACATATTCATTTTGCTGAACATACACTGATGAGCCAAAACATTATGACCACTTACACATGAAGCAAATAACCTTGATTATCTCATAACAGCAGCGGATATCAAGGTCTGGGATGTATTAGATGGTAAGTGAACAGTCGGTTCTCATAGTCGACTAATAGTGGATGCAGGAGAAATGAGCATGTGTGAAGACATCAGTGACATAGGCCAAATCATTGTGGCCAGACCACTGGGTTAGAGCATCTCCGAAATGGCAAGTCCAAGCAGAGACAAACAACAAACCAGCGACAGTGTTTTGGGTGCTAAAGGCTCACTGATTAGCAAGGGCAATAAAGACTATTCTGCCTGGTCTGAACAGACAGAAAGCGTGGACAGCCAGATGCATCTGTGGTTTTAAAGTGATGTCTCCAGGATGCACTGTGGGAAGAAGACAAGCTGGGAGAGGGAACGTGATGCTCTGCACAATGTTGTGCTGGGAAACCCTGGGTCCAGGCATTCATGTGGACCTACCTAGATATTGTTGCAGACCAGGCACCCTGTCATGGCAGTGGTATTCACTGGCAGCAGGATAATGTGCTCTACACACATTATTCATAAATGGTTTGAGGAACATGAGTGAAGGTGTTGAGCTGGGCTCCAAATTCCCCAGATGTCAATCTGACCCATCATCTGTGAGAACAAAAAGTCTGATCCGCAGTGGCTACAACTCGCAACTTGCAGGATCTGTTACTCGCATCTTGGTGCTAGACACCACAGGGCACCCTTAAAGGTTTTGTAGAGTCAATGCGTTGGTGAGTCAGAGCTGTTTTGACAGCACTTGAAGGACCAACAATAATGTATCGTGAGTCGTCAATGTTTTGGCTCATCTGTGTATTTTTATGTTTATAACTGGAAAAGCTTGTTTGTTTTAAACACCATGGAACTGTACTGAATTAACTGTGTTGAGATGTGTAGGCTGCTTGTATAAAAAAAATATTAATTTTGCTCCAACTGAAAACCAAATTGTTCCAGGCTCCTGGTTTGCTCTATGATAAGCGAATAGAGCAAACCAGTGGAACACTGAGAATGTTTCTTTGGTTAGACTTATTGTTAAAAAAATGTACTGGCAAACAGACTCAACTGTAGAATATTTCACTGCAAGCTTTTGTTCTTGTGTCCGTATTTCACACCATCTCATTTCTAAATTTCCAGTTAATATCCACAGACTCCTTTCATGTTCTCATATACATATGTTCATGTTCTTATATCAGTTCTTACCAAGCTGTGTCCTCCATGAAAATTCCCTCCTTCTCTAGTTGCATAAACAGCTCGCCACCTGTTTATTTGAAGGGGTATCGAAAAATACTCTCACAAGATCTGAAGGGCAGGGTAAAGACAAGAAGGTTCGCAAAATGTACAGCCACTAACACCATATCACAATACCACAGCTATCGAAAAGAGTTAGTCACTAACATAGTATTTACATTGATCAAATAACCTTACCAGCTACAGATTAAACCTTAGGAGTCCAGAGTTATTATTGTTTTTTTTATTACTAAAGTAGCTGTGTAGCTACATAATTAATTACACTGTTACACAATTATTACATTTACATTCTGTACTGACAATTTCGTGTCCGACAAATGTACCGATTTGTAAAAAATACAAAAAAAAAAAGAAAAGATTTTCTTTGCACAAAAGTTGACTGTACACATCAATTTTAAATCACAATAAAATACCTACTCTTCCGCCTACAAACACAAATGTGGTATTGATTAAAAGTTTAGAATCTGCATTTTCAACAGAATTTCTCTGCTTGTTTCAATGAGCATTACAATAATAATAAAATTACATTTATTGCAACTCCTCAGGTTTAAGTTAAATAAGTTCTTACAAAACTAATACCTTAGTCTTACATCTAATACTATGTTAAACAATTATACAGCACTGCATAGTTATGTGTTTTCCCGATCCTAACACCAGGGTGAACTCAACAGTAGGGGTGGTAAGTAAGATGCTCATCATCTATCACATTATACAACATAACAGCATGTCACAATATGCTTTCCTGGGCGTATTGTGAATATCGTAAGTATTTAAAAGGCTCATATCCTCTTATACCCACTTACGATAGTTGATTTGTTGATTTATATCACTTTTCATTGATACACAACCATTTTCCAAGCTCTCTTTATTTCTTACAGCTAAACCAGCTGTTTTTGCTTTTGTGCCTTTCAGACTGATTTATGTAAATGATCTCTCTACTGACTGCCCTGCATTGGGCCTGATCCAAAAAGCAGTCCAGGCTGAAACACTCCTTATAACGTCAGTGAGAACAGGTGGAGCTAAATGGCTGTAGGTTCATGTACAAATGAATTGGCTCTTGTGACATCACAAAAATAATTAATTGAAAGTGTTCTGATTCTGCAGCTTAGTTTCCGTATATGGACTGTATGGACTGAAGAGTGAACGGTTTACATACTACATCAAATTCTTTCATTTAAAAAAAGTGAGAATTCTTTGTTTCATGATATGGGCCTTTAAATAACATGCATGTTTTATTATAAAGAGGGCATAATTAGGCCTGTTCAATAGGATTTAGAGCAGTGTAGTATGTTGAATAAATTTATTGTATAGTATTTGGTAGTATTTTTTAAATGTGGAACCGCTGGTAATTTTGTGTCTGTTCCAGCTTATCAAACATCAGAAAATAATGAATAATTTAACGCATTTCATATATTGTGAAGATTAGGATTTTTGCCCCATCGCCACCCCCACTTAACAGCTATTAAGGCATGCATGTATATAATCAAGTGTCTTAGATCAAGGAAAACACGAAACTGTGAGCTTTGGTCTAGATATGAGTAAGAGGACACTATTCCCTATACTTAGTGGATAAACAAACCCAGCAGTAAACACTCACCACTCAGACACTCCAGTATGAGGTAGAGTTTGCCACCTGTCTGGAAGGCGTACCACAAGTCCACAATGAAAGGATGACGAACGGTTTCCAAAATCTCTCGCTCCGCACGAGTGTGTGCTGTGTCTTTCGCGTTGCACACTATTTTGGCCTACAGGGGGGCATGTGTGATTGTTAACAGAGAAAAGGGAAACACAGAGCGAAACACAAAGGGAAACACAGAGCGGAAAAAAAGGCAGTGAGACATACAATGAAGGAGCTTCTATCTTTACTTATTTATCTTTCATTTACTTCCTCTTGTAAGCCCTTTGATCAGATGACATTGACCTGAAACAGCTAGGACACAATGTCAACTAGTCACCAATGATGCTAAAACAAAATCTAAAGCAAAATGCTGTATAATGATCACATGATACATGCAGTAATTCTGACAGAGTGCAGTACACTACAAGAAAAAAAAGGGGGCGATGTGACTTTTATTGTTTTCGCGGCACTATAAGAAAAAGGAAATCGAACTTTAAAGAAAAGCAGCAGAAAGCAAAATAGCTGAATTAGTCAATTAATCAAAAAATGTTTAATAAATGAATCAACTGTACAAATAAGTCTTAGTTTCAGCTCTAAATGCTACATCTGTGAAAGGAAACAAACTTACTTTTTTCAAAACTTTCATGGCAAATATTTTTCCCGTCTGACTTCCTTGCACTTTACGAACCTGGAAGACCTAAACGAAGAGTCAGAGTGTGATGTTTGAATAGCATTTGAACAAAGAGTACTGTGCAAAAGTCAGAGACCACCTTTGATTTATTTTATTTCAAGTCAACATGTTCATTTTCCAAGCGATTTCTGAGGACACTAGATATAAAAAGATCCACTTGGAAAGGTCAAAGGAAAAGAAGTAAAAAAGAGAGCCTCTAAAACTGATCAAAGGATTCAGAGAAAATGGCACTCCTAACAACCATGCAAGACCTGGTAAACCACCAAAACTGTCCCCATCTGATAAACAGTACTTAAAGCTTTCATCTTTGAGAGAGAGGAGAGAATCAAGCTCCACTCTTGATTCAGATCTGACAAAGACACTATGGGTCTAAAGAGTGTGTAGCTATTAAGAAGGCCCTTACTTAGAAATGAAAATAGACAAAAATAAAATCTGCAAATCAAACAAAGAAGCTACTGGTGGTCTCAAAACAATGGACTGACCACAAAAAAAAAAAAACGAATGTGTTTGGGATTACTTGGATCATGAGAAGCAGAAAATACAACCAATTTCTAAGACTTCTAAAAATATCCCTGCAGATTTCTTTGAAAAATCTGAAAGCAAGTCAGATAAAGGCAAAAAGTGGAGACACTACATACGAGGTAGGCAACATGGCAACGTCACATCATGATAACGATAAATACTATCAAATTGCCCACCTTTACTAATAATGAAACATATTATTTTAAATTATATTGTACTTATACTTTAAGGCAGCTCTGAATGGAAATTAAATAAACCAAGGGTGGTCTCTGATTTTTGCACAGTACCATAAAATGCATGTATCCTTAGGCTTGTCACAATCATGAAATTTTAGCTTATGATTAATGGTTATATAAATAACTGTGATTAACAATTTAATTGTCTTACTTGTCCATTTTATTCAACTAACAAAGTACAAGTCAAAAGCAGCTAAATTGGCTTATTTGCTATCTTGTTTAGCTAGCCCTTTACTTTGCAACTAATGATAGAACCTCACATTGTGCTTGTTGTGATACAGCATGACTGTGAAATCTAAAGACTGTGGAAAACCATTGTGGTCAAATTAAACAGTTGTGATTATCTCAAATAGCTGTGATCAGGCAACTGTGTAATAACTGTGACAGGCCTATGTATACTGTAAAAACACCACAACCAAAACAAACCTGCTTTATCTTGGTTTGGTTCAACCCACGCACACCCTCACATACCTTGCCATAGCCTCCTTTCCCCAACACAGTGAGTAACTCGAAGCAGTCTGGCCCCACTCTCTCGCTGTCTCTGTTCACACTCGCACTAGTGAGCTCCACCTCCTCAGTCTCTGACCTGGTAAAGAGACATTTCAGCATTATTCACACTCATATCCAGTTATACATCACATTTATGTTCATACAGTCTTATAAGTATACCATAAAAAAATGTATGCTTATATAAAGAATACATACGGCTCTGTCTCTGCCGCTGGAAAGTTACAAACTTCATCCTATGAACAAACAAAAGATGTTTGATAATAGAAAGAAAAACTAGATTTAAACAGATGGTTACTCTTAATTGTGCTTTTCTCCCAGTATAGGTACATGACCAGCATCAAGAATAGGGTTTTATGAGCATAAAGAGTTCAAATAAATGTGAAGTGTCCCCACTTCTTTAAGGGTCATTTGAGAGCAATTTTCTACACAAATTGGGCACTTAGGAAAATACAGAAAACAATCACTAATCAGAAAATAAACCAGAAAAATAAATAAATCAAATACAGCAGAGCACAGATTCAATCTTTCTATATTACTGGTGAAGAAATAAAGAACTGATTGCTCCTTGATTGAGATGTCATCATCTGCAGTACGGAACAGCATTTCAGTCAAACTAGACACTCAAATATTCAAAAGTATCTGAACAAACATTCAACATGGCTTGAATTGTTTATTGTAAACAAATACTAAGATGAAAGTTGAGGGAATTAGCATCTTGCCCTGTGCACTGCATTATCTGTATTTACATGTGGCATAACAATAATGACAAAACTCCACCTCAAAAAGAATGTTGACCACTATAGCAGGTAAACCAGTATTTTGCCTACTACCATTTATAAGTTAATTCATACTGGTATATTAAATTATTTGTGGACTATGTTGTGGCTTGTAATTGTTTTAAAGGAAAACTACATAATTACATTGTTAGGGCATAAACAGTCATTCGGAGTGGTTTGGTGTGAAATGCTAAATTCTAAAGCAACTTAGAGCCAGAACTGTTCAGTGGTGGAGATGGAAAAACGAACTAAGATAAGTTTAATGCCCCTAAATAATAATAATAATAATAATAATAATAATTTTTATTTATATATCACTTCTCATGCTGGTGGCAGCTCAAAGTGCTTTACAGACAGGTGATAAAAAAGTTATACAATAAATTGTATAAAAAAGTATTAATTTAGAATCATAAGAAAATGACACAGATCCAATTAAAAGATAAGCACCACAAGATGTAGAGTTTAATTTAACACAAAGAGATATGTTTTTAGATGCTTCTTAAAAGTGAGCACTGAGCTTGACAGTCTAACAAAAAGTGGAACTGAGTTCCACAGTCCAGAAGCATAATAACTGAACAAGGCCTCTATATGTTTTCCATGTTTTACAGAAGGTCAGTATCTGCAGATCTAAGATCACGTGCTGGAACATAAACAGACAGACACTCTGTGATGTAAGCAGGTCCTATAAGGTCATTTAGAGCCTAAAAACCAATACTCAATACTCCCTCACAGAAAGTTATTACACGGAATGGTTATTAATGATGCCCAAGACATTATTTTCTGATAGTTTTGTTAGAATCAATCTTTAAACATATTTTTAAGATATACTCAAGATGTGGTGAGTGTGTTTACATGCACTTAACAATCTGATAACTGCAGAAAACCAGATTTTGTCAGGAATACAATCAATGCATTTACATGCACTTGGGTAATCAGATAATGGGAAACTCCTGGTTTCTATCACCACCACTGTAAAGAGATCTGAGTCAGTAAGTTTGTCTACAACAAACCATTTCACATTAAACTACTCTGAAGGACTTTGTTTTACATCTGAACCATAGAATTATGCAGAAGTTCAAAAAATCAGTGGAGGTCCACTATAAAAGGGCATTTTTGCTCTTTTCTCTGGTCATTTCTGACTCTGACGTATAGGATGTTAAATGTTATTTGGATTAGAGTCACATCTTCTCTCCATCCACATTCCTCTTACCTCCGCATCGCTCACGTCCTCCGACTCCAGGTCAATGTCGAACACCCCCGCCATCCTACAGGAACAGACAGGTGTTAGAAAAGGCAACGTTCAGTTGCTCAAGTCTAAATCTTTCAACACAAGTATCTGTGATTATTGACTGGCCTGCGCCAGACATGGACACTTGGTGGATGGTGTATTTCTGATTACACACACAAGCTCGTAACTTAGGAAATGTTGTAGAAACACAGGCGTAAATTAATCAGCGTAATTTTATAAATCATGAGCAACATACATATGAAGGGTTTCCTTCCAAAACACATTATAGATCACTTTTAAGAAATTTCTTTTTTTTCTATGATAAACCTTGTTGGGAGGGCTTTACACATACAAGAAATATATAAATAATATATAAACAATAAATACCACCCACAGAAATAAAACTTTTCCATCCCGCATCATCTACTATTCTCTAAATAAACTCTTTACATCCAGAATTGTTACAAAAAAATATACAACATTTTGGAATACAACTTTTCAGATATTAAATGGCTGGAAAAACCTTAATTGCACACATACTACTCTTCAAAAATTTGGAATCATTTCTTATTTGAATAACTATTGTTCTTTTAAACAATATGACATCTCATAATAATACAATATATTTTCAAACAGACACAAAGGGGTTTTAAAAATGTGAGGTATCTGAGTGATAAATATCATACTACATAATATTACATAATATTATACTAATGTTATGTAATCATTTATTAACAATCATTTTTGCATTCTCTGCCTTGACATTCAATCACTGCTCTGGAAATACATTCTGGATATTTATTTTATAATAACTTTGCTCTCATTGTTATACAGCTTTCTCAGTCATTATGGGATCATCTACAGCTCTGATCATCATTAAGCTTCCTTATAATCATCTGAAACCTGTAAACTAGCATATTAAAAGAGGTGTTATATTACTGAAAACATAGATTAAAGCATTGTAAACTGTAGTTGTGTGCTGTTACAATCACAGTCTTTAACAGGACATGAGTTAATGAGGTGATTTTGGCAAAGCTACATTAGAGCTGTGACTCTTCTATTCCTGCAGTCTACGCCTGAGATGAACGGTCTGATTTCATGTTTGTTCTATAAACAAGCTACCGAATCCACCCAGTTGCACTATCTAGGGTCACAACCTTAACTGAAAGACCAGGTCAATTAGTCGTCAATGAGCCAAGAGACAGCATTCTGTGACCAAACAGGATTTTTCTCCAATGGAATGGTTTGGCTTCACCCCAAAAGATGTACTTGATTTGCCAAGACATGTTTAGTGTCTGGAGTTTGGAGCCATGAGGTCAATGCGGCTACCAAGTAATTCCACGACTGTTTATAGTTTATACTGTTTGTGAAATACTTTTGTCCAGTTTTATAGATAATAGTGTGTCATACAGTGTCAGAAACTACACCAGCAGGTCTACTTGTGATTCAGTGTGGGGAGTTATGAGTGTGATGATGAGTCATGCATTTAAATTAACCACAAACCTTCTGATATAAAGTTCACATTAGCCTGCAAATTCACAACAGCTTGCCTGGAAAAAAAATCATACTTAAGACCTGGTATAACTGGTTTCCAATGATAATGTCAGTTAATAGCCTGAAACCAGTTTTGCTTAATACAAAAAGCTATAAAAAGCCTCAGATCACTTGTGAAAATTATATTTGAAGAGCTGGTATCATGGACATATGAATTTCCTTCACTTTTTTGAAAAGAAAGACTTTAAAGTAATATGTATCACTAATGCAAAATTTCAAAGTTTTCAAAATGTTTAATGTCCATTCATTCTATACTCCATACGGTCAGTATATGTAAATACTCAGCTTTGGAATGAATTGTTTTTGTGATGTCACTAGACCCAACTCATTTACATTTACCCAACTATTCTGCCTGCAGTAGTTTAGCTCCACTCATTCACATGTAAGTTTACATTTACATTTATGGCATTTGGCAGACGTTCTTATCATTTTTTACACAGGTAGGCGAAGGTAGTTTTAGGAGTTGCCCAAGGACTCCTGGGAGGATTGAACCCCAGTCTGCAGCGTGGGAAGCAGTGGTGTTACCCACTACACTATACCAACCTAAGAAGACATTTCTGACTTTCTTTTGTGTTAATGAGCATTTGCATTTGTTCTGATGTCCTATGTTGTTTTATAAGCAAAAACACAGCCCAGCTAAACAGTTTTTGTTGCTGGCCTGAGACGTCTGCACATGTATATTTGGTTGTAGACACTTGGCTCTTTGGTTATGCTTCACTGGAAGTGTCATTAAAACAGCAGTAGGGCCTGCAGTACTAGCAGACCACCATTGTGAGGCTATTCCAGGAGAAACACTGACTCATATGTTTAGAGTACAATATACTGTGTTCATAACAATGTGTACTGATCAGGGCATTGTCATGGACATGAACCTGTATTGTATGCTAAAGCGATGGGTCAAAAGCCTCAGGAGAGAATATCTGGCTACTGTGCAATTTCACTAATTCACACTCTGACACAGCAGAAAGGTCTGATACAAAGCTAATATACTCAAACAATGAAAAGCATTTCTTATGGTTCAGTGAATTATATCATGTCACTATGTCAGTCATTATGGACTATATTAGTAATCAGATGACAGACTTGAACACAAATTAGTTTTTTTTTTATCCCTGAGACTTGAAGACTGATATATGTAAATAAACTCTGTTCTGATTGGCTGCCTCATTCAAAAAGCAGTCCAGGCTGAAATGCTGCCTTCAAGTCCTACTCGGAAGTTCCTACTTGCGATTTCGGAGGTCGTCAGTATGACTTGATTTGTGTTCAAGTGGTTTTGGTTGGAAATAAGACACACTGGAAATAATGTTTTTGGTTTACTTGTTTTTCTATCATTAAAGGGAGTCTGTGTATTTTGCGTTAGTAATGTTTTTATGCAGTTAGATGTATCACATAACGTGCTTGTTCCCACTCGTGGACTGTTTTAGCCTGCAGTGTTGAAGTTGTAGCTGACGAATAACTGAAATACAGCCAGTTTATCAGTGGCTATCATCGCATTTTTGACACACCCCCAACTCGAAAACTATCACAGAAATAACAAATTCAAAAACAAATAGTTTCCACATATGAACAGTATGTTTTGAAACTTCAGCAATGTTTTATACTACATCAAACTTTTTATTTTTATACCTGTCACCTGCCATTACAGATATTACATTCAAGCCAGACATTCTAGTGCATTTGGTTTGAACATTTGCAGCATCAGAAAGCATTATTATTCATTAAGTCTCAATGACACTACATTCATCTCACTTTTAATGAAATAACAAATAAGTTTTCAGCTTTTTAACCCCTTAATATATACGGGCCTTCCAGCAGGCCCAGATCTCTTCACTCCTGCAACCTAATGATACACATAACTCCATATTTTTGCATTGTTTACATTTAAATTTACTGAATAATACACTGCTGCATGTGGATGTCCATGTTTAAGTGGTTATAAATTCTCTCATAAATTCTAGATTATTTTACTAGAGACCAAATTAAACTCCAAGATCCTGCTGTTGTAAGGACAGTACAGGAGCTGCATCCAAAACCACATGCTATACTACACTACACATATTATTACGTAGTATAGTAATAAAGTGTGGGACTAACGTACTATTTTGACTACTATTTAGTATTCTTGTATGCAATTTTGAATAATATACGAAACTGAAGGGAGCTTAACTCTGACATTCTCTTCACTGCAGAACAGCCTGTGGCTCAGAAAGTACCAAATACCTGTACTCCCACTTTGGGAACAGAATCTTGACCTGGAAGTTGGGAAACATGGTTCTTGTGGTCATACTCAGCTATTAGCTTTCTGAATGTGATAAACACTTCTCTACGTGCTTGCCCAGCCCAAATATTTCATTATCTAGTCAGTGCATGAAGGGAGATAACTGAGCTGAATGGAATTTAAATGGAAAACTGAATGTTAGAAAACATGTGTACATGTTATTTATGATGTATTTATGTTACAATAGCATCAATAACATGCAACTCATGTTGGGCTTAAAAACATTAACTATTACATATAATCTTATAGTTTTACTATAGGCAATCTTTGCAAACTCAAACTTGATTATACCAATATAATAAATTGCACAAAACATGTAGTTTTACTCTTAGCTTGTGTCTGAATTTCTCCTCACTGCATGCAGGCCTAAAATGCATGACAGAACCGGACTAAAAGAGAATAGAAGGCTCTTTACTTGTCATTTACACAATTGAAACCCGTGCCATGCACGACTAGAAAAAAATAATGAGGGCTACATCATATGCCTGATAAGAGATTTCAGGCTCCTTGTACAGTGGCAACAGCATTAATGGCAATAGCAGCAGTAATGTCAGACAGACAGACAGACAGACAGACAGCACTGCTCCTGGTCTATATGTCCAGTTACTGAGTAAGTCAGAAGCCATTCAGACATGACATAAAGAAAGCTGGCAGTACAATCAAACTGACTGCACGAAGCGTCTTCATACAGACAAGCCTCTTCATTTCTGCTGTTCCTTATTTATTATTTACCTGCTCGGACCTTCATCCGCGTCCCAAACTCACTCCTGATTCCGCCACAAACGCTGTGCAGACGCGCTGCTTGGTAAATGTGATGATATTCGTGTAATACAACGTATATTCTAGTAAGAAATCCGTGTAAAAGCGATAAAGTGCTCGGTTCTTCATGTACCTGCAGTTCTGGTTAAAATCCAACTGCTAGTGTGCTTACCCTCTGCGATGACATCATCCAGTAGGCGACGAGACAAGACGAGAGGAGACGTGAGGGCGGGAATTAAAATAACAACAACAATAACAAAGGATTTTATTTTCAACCTAAAACCTAAAAAAGTCCTCTACCACTTTGACTTCACTGGGAAGATCTACATTTGAACTGCCTTAGTCAGCAATAAATATATCTAATTTATAATAAAACATAACGCCTATAATGCGAAGTAAACTGGTCGCCCCCTGCTTGTTGTGTTTAAAATAACCCAATAACAATGAATTGAAAGTGGTGAATAGTACAGGTTGTGCAGCATAACGTTCCCTGTCAGCCCCATATTAATTTATATTGACATTATATTGACTTTATACCAATGTTCCAAATGATTAATCGATAGTAAAGACACAAATATAGTTTCTAGGAGTTTTTTCCCAAACCGGACTACAAATTCTGTCGGCCTGATTGCGTCACTATCACAGTCCAGCGGAGCGGCGCCAGCAATGACTCATGGGTTTTGTAGTTCAGTTGTATTCTAAACGTTACAGTGTATTCGCAGCTACATTGTATTCGCATCTAATGTGCTTGTGTGCTTTCACTTACAGCTTTAAGTGAGTTTAAATCCATCAAAAATATCCTTCTGGCGAAATAAATCAGCTATACATGCTTGATTAAAGAGGATTTCTACACAACCAGCAGATGGCGGAGTAATGCACCGTTCTCTCCATTCAAACTTAAGGCAAAGACAGTTCAACACAGTCAAAGGTCCACTAGAAAGAAATGTGTTTTATGTTATAAGTTAGCAAAGCATTCTTTGTCCTATCTATAAGTCATTATAATTATGTTATATAATAGAATAACCAACTATATCATGACATGATTAAGCCTATATCGCTACTAGTAGGGCTATGTATTATAAATGTTATTAATTCTATATCTAACATAATTTTGTCAAGTTGCACTATTCAATGCTATAATACAGCCATTATAACTATATAATTTAGGGCCTAATTATAATGAGGCCCATATTCTTACTACATATATGCATATAAATGAGACATGTATGAGCAATAATTTTCTCACATCCATCTCGTATAACATTCTCCACTTTTGTATCATATATAATCATTTTTTTAAAATGTATTCTATATCATTCATCATCATTCTATTTACATACCATCTGTCACTATTATTTAGTAAATGTCTCAGTATTTGGTACATCCACCTTCATCCCATCTTGATCTATGTTTGTTTATATAAAATAGGAGAGTCTACATTATGTTCCCAAACATGTACATTGCACAAAACATAACACAAAAACTTTTTAATTCACTTTTCACATAATTTCATGAGAGCCATTTGAGTCCATAACATTTTATTTTTTTAGTAATGCAGATATTCTTCATTTTCCAGTCACTGAAACTCCATCTGAATTACTGCTTGTGTAAGCATGAGATAATGACCATGCTCTCATCTGATCTGTTTGCACATCAACACTATCTATCTATCTATCTATCTATCTCTCTCTCTCTCTCTCTCTCTCTATATATATATATATATATATATATATATATATATGCATTTAAAACAAAACCAAAATAAAAAAAAAAATCATACTCTGTCATATAAAGTGACAACATTTAAACTTTGAGGACCAAAAACTGGCAAGTTATGCTTTTGTTCAGCTCTGATAGTTTGTCGTTAGCTCTCCATTCTGTGTCTTATTCTAAAAACGCAATTTAACTTAACTGACACACTTAATATACACAGAGGCAGTTTTCGTAAACTTCATTCATTCTATCATGGAGAAATTCCTTTTAGACTCAGAGTTCCTTATGTAGGCATAAGAGCCTGGCGCCGACTACAGAATGATGACACGACTTCAGTGAGTGGTCTGTTAGAGCAGGCTGACCAGTTTAATGGAGAGCTAACAACAAACTCAATTACTAACATGAACCTTTTCTAAAATATAGCCCACTGCTGCTTTCCTTTTAAAATCACTTAATATTTCATGAGACACATAAAGATGTCAATATTTCAGCCACATCAGAAATACAGAAAGAGAGTTCATTAACTGTGAACTGCTCAGTGGTAGTTCACGTAGGAATAGAACAAAGAACTTTCTGTGTCCTATTCTAAGTCTCTCTGTGTCTTATCCTCCAAAGATGGAGTTCATCTAGGCTAAGCTACAACAGTAAGCTACTACGGTAGATGGATCGCAGAGGATGACGCAGAAGTTATATTTTTGTCTTTCCGCATCTGGTCTTGAAAACAGCCTACATGTATTTCTGAAAACCTCTACAAAGTTTACAGAAATTACAGGGTGATTTTCAGACAATGAGTCTGATAAAACTGAGCTTTTCGGTAAAACAGTTGAGGAGATGGAGAGTGTGGGATTTCCCAGAGTTCTCTTTCTTCTACCCTGCATTGGTTTAACATGAAAAGCATGTGGTTTGTTCCATAACATGATGCTCTGAGAAAATTTGAATCTCCGTTTCCAATTTTTCACAGCCTAGGGGAGACTGAACCACAACCTGCGAGTTATTTTGGAAATGTCAGCAAAACTACTGAGCGGCTACAACTTTTTCCCCTCTCAGTTTTGTTTTGAAAAAAAGTTAGGTTTCCTTTTTGACATTGCGTTTTTAATATTCAGTTGTCTAATATTCAGTTGAGCCTGGCACCGACTACAGAATGACAACATGACTTCAGTGAGTGGTCTGTTAGAGCAGGCTGACCAGTTTAATGGAGAGCTAACAACAAACTTAAATATCTAAAATGAACCTTTTCTAAAATATAGCCCACTGCTGCTTTCCTTTTAAAATCACTTAATATTTCATGAGACACATGAAGATGTCAATATTTCAGCCACATCTATCAGAAATAAAGAAAGAGAGTTCATTAACCATGAACTTCTCAGTGGTAGTTAATGTAGCAATAGAATAAAGAACTTTGTGTCTTATAATTTTAGTAATTTTGTTAGTGGCGTTATAACTGTACTGATGTGGTTTAATATAATAGATGTGTTACGTTGCACCAATCACTTATCAACATTTGTATCTGTGTTCGTCACCACCCCTTTAGAACGACCCACCTTCGATCAACCTGGGATGCCCCTGCGCCAGAGCGATGAGGTAGGTGCCAGACAGCTGTTGCAACATTTAACCTCCACATGGTTTGTTCCATAACATGATGCCATAACATAACAACTTCCAGGTGCTCGACTTCTTATCAGGATGGTGGTGTACAGTATTGAGCAGCGCATCTTCATAGTAAGAACCTATTGGGTCACCAATTCGTTTAAGCGATGTCAGAGTGAATTTAGGAAGAAATATGGTGTTTGTGACGTACCCTCAAAGAGTGTTATTCAGAAGATGGTACGGAAACTGGAAATGACAGGATCGTTGATCCCTTCTCATGGTGGAGGCCGCCCGAAAATGTCACAGGACACAATCAATGATGTGCAACATCGTCTGCAGCAATCGCCTACGAAACCTCTGAGACGCCTAGCACAGGAGACTGGGAGGTCTTATTCAACATGTCAGAGAGCTGCAAAAAGGGCAAAACTGCATGCGTATCGTGTCACTGTCGTTCAGGAGCTCAAAGCAAGTGATATGAAAAAAAGAGTCAGACACTGTCACTGGTTCCAGGCGTTTGTGAGGGACAACGAAGGAATCTTGGACATCACATGGTTCTCGGATGAGGCGTGGTTCCATTTGTCGGGGTATGTTAACACGCAAAACACCCGTATATGGGCCCTTGAAAACCCCTTTGCCACTCACCAAAAACTGCTCCATGATCAAAAAGTCAGTGTATGGTGCGCAATGTGTCGGTTGCACATCATAGGCCCCATTTTCTTTGACACCACCGTGAACACTGATGTGTACCTGGACATTTCTGAACAGTTTGTGAATCAACTGGGTGATCATGAGTTAACAGAAGGTTATTTCCAGCAAGATGGAGCAACGTATCACACATCGGCAAGGAGCATGGCAGAAATTGAGTCCTTCTTCGGCAACAGGGTCATTTCAAAGGGGCTTTGGCCACCACGGTTGCCGGATCTGACACCACCAGACTTCTTCCTTTGGGGTATGCTCAAAGGAAAAGTGTATTGGAACAAGCCTCGGAGTGTGGAAGATTTGAAGGAAAACATCCAACGTGAAATTGATGCTATTGCCCCCGATATGCTTGCTGATGCATTCAGGAACATGGAGCGCCGCGTCGAAATGTGTCTGGCAGAAAACGGAGACCACTTCCAGCATCGCATGTAATACAATCGATTACACATACGTCAAGGTATGTAGCGTATTTTTTTTGTTCAGATTGCTTCATCCTAACGGGAGTTACAACAGAATATTCGGGGCCTCTTTCAAGTGAATCTCCCTGTATAAACCCCATTCATAAACCTAAAGCCAAAGAAAAATAAACTAAGAAGACTAGTTCACGCTGTGTACATTAGAGGCTGTAGCATAACAATGGACATTCAATAATCTTCTGACCATCTTATATAATAACTCATCCTATGCACATCTTTGGTTGGCTGTGCCAAATGAAAAAAAAACAAAACTGTGCTTAAAACTGGCCTTGGTCAGGCCTCAATACTGGGTCAGGAGGAACAGGAGTTTCACTTCAAAGTCAAAACAGGCTCTGAAGAAGAACAGTGACAATAGTGGTATTTCACACCTATTGCAGTGCAAAAAACATGGTTTCAGGCATCAGAGTTGCAAAGAGCATGCATGACTTTCCATTACTTCTGTTTTTACTCTCCATCTATTCTCTTAAAGACCTGCCCTCATTCACTGTTGACTTCTAAACCTTATCTAACACTCTTGATCCAGTAAATCTTCATCATCACCTGAAAAGAAGGAGGGAAGATGAGTCATATTGAGGTTGGAACTTAACATCTGCTGACTGGAACATAGTGTGGTTTTGCTTCCGCCTAACCCGAATATATAGGCTCGCCTTCTCAAACAGTAAACACGCAGAATGCGAGATCACAAGAAAACAATGCTGTTTGCCTGGATTG